TGCTTTTTAGTAGTTACGGTGATGCTAACACTTGAAGTAATGCCAATATACTATAAAATACTTAATGTTGGGCCATTCCATGGCACAGAATCTCTCTGAATCATCTCAGTCAAGCTTAAAATACTAATTGCCTTCTAAATGAATTGGGAACTGAGACTGAAATGTTAACGGTGACTTCAGGCTATAGCGTCCTGTGCAGTGTCTAAATCAACAGTGCCTGAAAGTGAAGCCTCAGGCTTATTTGAACCTTCCATAATAATACAAATATGCTGGTCTCAACTAGTCTTGGTCACATTTTGAAGACAATAAGAGGTTTTAATGCTGATTAGGATTTATTTTTCTGGCTGCAATAGCTTGATGGCTGTTCTTAAGTTTTGACAGTTTATCTTGCAATATGCCTGACTGGGACTGGCGTGTTTTGTTTTATTAATATTTTACTGTCACATTAGGAAAATACAGCACAATGTATACGCTTCATCCCATAAACTACTCAGTCCAAGGCAAACTAATGATCCCTTCATTTTATGTGTTAAATAAAAAAGCCCCACATCTATATTTAGGTAACTTGCTCACAAGATATGGCAAGATATTATTACTCAGTGGGCAGCATGGTGAGTTGGCAGTGATGGTGTTTCACATGACTGATAATGCAGAAGTTTCTCTTGGTAGTGCTGTGGGTAGGACAAAGAATCATGATGAAGAGGGAACAAGATAGAGATAGTTCACAGTATCCCCAAAATACCTGTCAGAAGAGCTGCTTAAAAATAACCGCTACTGCACGCCTGTGCTATTTTGGAAAAGGGGAATTGATAAGTGGTAGAAAAGATTCTGTTTATTTAAAGATTTACTACTAGTTCCAAACTCATTTAAAGGCTGCAAGGGATTTCACTTTGTCCAGAGATAACTTTGAGAACTATATATACACACTTGTGTTAAGGATGACTTCAGAGGTAAAAGTGCAGAAAGAGTAATCAGTGTACAAAACTGCTTTCTGTTTCGACAGAAAAGCCATAGTATTTATGATGAAAGGTTAAGGCATAAAGTACAAGGAAAGTCATGTGTTTTCCAGTTCATGGCTGATAAAGGCAGATCAACACAGTGACTTTGTCACCATCTTCTCTGAAGAGGACACAACCGCAGATACCACCAGGAGTGCATTTGCCCATGGCTACAGTATTGCTTCCTATTCCTGAGCTGGCAGCTTGTTTGATTCTGGAAAATGGCTGGATGTGAACTGACTTTTGATCATTAATCATCTAATCATCCACTGTGGTTTTTCTTTAGAAAACAAAGAAGAAAAAAAAACTTAAAACCCACCAAAAAAGCCTCAACAAAATGTATCAGGTGGAAGAACGTGAGGGCTGTGTTAGGCCATGAGCTGAGCAAAATACAGGATAAAGATGTGTAGGGATTACTCTGAGGTGCTTTGGCTGGTGGGGCAGATGCTGTAGGCAAGATATAGTAGATGGTTCTCTTGGCTCTCATAGTTTCCTTTACAAGAATATTAGATGAATATGTGCCACAAAGGTGAGAAAAGGAGCTTACTGCTTAAACCTAGTTGTGATTCACAGGAATAAAAAAACGGTGTATGGTGAGTGGCTGTCATCTGTGGACACTTACTAAACATCCTATATCATCAGTAGTTAATTATTAAAAATCTTTACTAGTTTTTTACTTAAACTTCATATTAGATAAGCCAAGTAATCATTCATTTAGAAAATTCTTGACCCAACACAGGCCAGCTACTTTGATCTTCAGCCTTCAGTGGTGATAGGGTTATGTTTGCACAAGCAGAATACAGCCTCACCTAGAAATATGCTTGTTTCTGACTTCAAGAAGGGCAGGTTTTCTAAAACTATAAGTGTTAGCACAGTCGCCCTGAAAAGTTTAAATGAAAAAATGTATCAAAATCTGGGAACGGGCATCCTCTAGAACATGCTTAGGCAAAAGGACTGTGATTTCACAAGTGTGGAAATAATGTTTTCTTGGTGGAAAGGAATCTCAGTTAAAGGAAATTAAAGCAGCAGTTAAAACAAATATTAAGGATAAGAACAAGGGCAATAAAGTGTCCATTAACAAAAGTAAATATTAATGAATAAGCAACTAAAAAGTGAGTTCCAGTGTGGTTAAAACGCTCAATATGTTTTGCAATGGGGGAAAAAAATCCCAGATCAGATGTAGATTCAGTGACAGATGTGCATGGTAAAACTGTAAATAATATAGTAAAGAAAGGAGTAGTGATAGTTATTTCTGTTGCAGGTTTCAAATAAAGCAGGGAGATGTATCTACCTCTCGTAATACTACAGATGAAATAAAGATGTTTGTTATCTGTAAAATAAAAGGATATGAGATGGTATCTACTAAAATAAACATTCTCAGGCCAACAGGTCATTTGACTGTGAATTAGACAGACTAGACAAGGAGTTTTCTGAATTGCTGAAGTTAATTGTTAACTGCAGAAGTCTTAGCGTCCTGCTACTGCAGTTCCAGGGGAAGCTCCAGTGAAAAGCTGCATTTTTGCCTTCCTGAAGTTTGTGGGGTCTCCACAGGAGCCGCTGTCGTCCTCAGCGCTCGTCTGCTGGGTTGGATGCTCTCTTCCTGCGTGTGAAGTTGATAATTTCCAAATTGAAATAACTGGGTGTCTCTCTGCACCCTGGCTGCTGCCGTCTTGGCTCAGGGTGTCATTCGAACTCAGTGATGAGCTTGCAGTCTGCTTCCTCCCCACACCCCCTTTGGTTCTGAGAGACAGTAACTGCTTGGGTGTTTCCTAAGTCCTTCCTGAGTTGTCTTAATAGAACTGAGCTATTTTAATCTTTCCTCTGTCTTCATGGCTGACCAGAGTCTGTTCACCGGCCAACTTATCTTGTCTTCATCTCTAAATGTATTTCTATTTGTGATCAGCATTTCTGTGGTGTTCTGTTGGTTTCGGGGTTTTTTTACCTCTGCCTTGAGCATTGAATAATCAACACCTTGCTGTGGCTACTGGAGCATCCTCACACAGCTGGTATTCCTTACTTCTACTGTTCGTGTTACCAGCAGCCACCTCGCATGGGATCCACACTGACAGGTTTTCTTTCTGGTAACTATCCCAGCTGCAGGTGGCGAGTCTGAAGAGTTGCCCTCCATCCCTGCTTTCTCATAATTCAAAGTCAGGAAAAGGAAAGATCAGATGTAACCATCCCTTGTGTAGGGAGACAGCTATATGGAGAAGTGGGTAGTCCTGACAGATGTTGGCTGCACAAAATTAGGTGTTTATCAGCACGATGAGATCTCTGCTGGCTGCAACAGCTTGGGGACAAGGGTTTCTGGATTTGCCTTTTGTTTTATAGGGTAGCTGATCACTTTTGGCTCATATCACAGTAAGTCTGCAGCATCCCAGCATCTTTTTGCAGGCCTTGAAAACAGATTATATGAATTTAGACAGATTTAGTGTAATTGGCAATTATCGGCTATTTTTGAGGATTAAAAGTAGGAGTGCGGGGATTCACTGTGTTTCTGTGTAACTTTACCAAAACTTCAGGCTCTGTTTCCTCTAGTCTCTGTTTTCTTTTTTATCTTTCCTTACCCCATTTTTTATTTTATTCTAGAATTGCATTTCTTAAATCTCTACTGAAGTTGTCAAGGCTAGTTAGAGAAAGAAGGCTGTGTGCCTGTCTCATGCAGTTTCTGTATTGCGAATATGGCTGAAGCTAATGAAGAGAGACCTGTATAATCATTGTATGGCAGCAGAACAAGGTTATATTTTGTAGCTTTGACAGCTACCTGGGAGATGTCTATCTCTGGGGGATGGGAGTTTTTAATCACAAGAGATTCTGCTTTCTTGTATTTAAGGAGAATTTTTGGGCAGAGTGGTTATAATATGGCCATCCCTGATTCAGTTGTTTGGCGTGTGCATTGGGAAACAACCCTATATATATACATGCATCTAAAATTTCAGACAGAAAGCTCCAGTCTGAGTACCATATCTGGAACAGGTCCTGATGCTATGAGATAGAGGAGAGCAAAACGGCTATCTTCTTTCTTTATCCCTCTGGCACACGGTACAAATGTTGCACTATATATGCACATAGCAATAAGGGAGTAGATTTATCAAATTTTGCTGTCAGGCAGACTCTGATGGACAAAAATAACATAAATATTCCAAAGGTACTGTGGCTTTTGCTTGCTGTCAGTGAGCATTGTAACAATACCAGCATAGAAAACACACTGCAGAGTTATGAATCCACTGAGAGCAGCCCTGAGAAGAAGGACTTGAGGGTGCTGGTTGACAAGAAGTTCAACATGACCCGGCAGTGTGTGCTTGCAGCCCAGAAGGCCAACCGTGTCCTGGGCTGCATCAAAAGTAGCATGGCCAGCAGGTTGAGGGAGGTGATTCTACTCCAGCTCTGGAGCCCTCTTGCACAGGAAAGACATGGACCTGATGGAGTGGGTCTAGAGGGGGCTCCAAAAATGATCAGGGGCATGGAACACCTCTCCTGTGAGGAAAAGCTGAGAGAGTGGGGATTGTTCAGCCTGTAGAAGACAAGGCTCTGGGGTGTCCTTAGTGCAGCCTTCGAGTACCTGAGGAGGGCCTACAAGAAGGCTGGAGACGGACTTTTAACCCAGGACATGTAGTGATAGGACAAGGGGTAATGGCTTCAAGCTGAAAGAGGGTCAATTACATTAGGTATAAGGAAGAAATTCTTCACCAAGAGGGTCATGAGGCACTGGAACAGGTTACCCAGATAAGCTGTGGCTGCCCCCTCCCCGGCGCAAACTGGTCTAGTGGAAGGTGTCCCTGCCCATGGCAGGGGGTTGGAACCAGGTGATCTTTAAGGTGCGTTCCAAGACAAACCATTCTATGATTGTATGAAAAGCCTACCACTGTTGTCATCATCTTCCAGTTACCCACTGCTGTTTTGAGTGTTTCTGATATGAAGTAGGCCATTTATTGTGGGGTAAACCAGAAAGTTCTTTACATAAAGCATGGTGTTTATCAACTATACATATTTTAATTTTAGGTCCTTAGAAGAACACCATGATCATCCTAACATGGTAATGGGAGATCTTCAGTCAGATGAAGAAGATATCATGAACAGTTCTGATGAAGATGATGACACTAATTCTGATTCCAGCAAAGGGGAGCCTGATCCTCAAGAAGATAAGCAGGTATCTTTTTATCTTCTGAAGCTATTCCTCACTCTTGCACTATTTTGTAAGTTGTAACCTCTTGGGATATTTTCAAATAAAAGGCAATGTAACTACGTACTTCTTTTTGTCATTCTTACTGTTTAGTGGTTTTTTTTTTCCAAAATTTTAATTTAATATGCGTATATTAGCCTGATATTAAGAGGTCAAGGCTAGATATATTCCATTAGAAAGTGTGTGTTGCCTGGCGTATTTGTTCTTAGTGTTTCACTGAGTTGTGGAGCTGCAGACCTGCCTGCCATACCCCTCTAACAGAGCTACATACACAGATGTATGTTTAGAGATCTTCAGTTTTGAGACTTGTAAATACCTTTAGTGAGGCTGTGTATGCTTCACAGATCCTAGAGTGCATGATACTTCTTGTGCACTGAATGTTTAAAATCAGCCTTTGATATTTAAGCCTTGTTGAAGACCAAGGAAAGGGGCCAGATGAAGGTTCCAAGGTCTGAGAAGATCCTTCTGCAAAATATCTTGGAAGCTGTAGTTCTGCCTGGATGGTCCTGTTTTGGGGGCCTTGGCCATGAAGCAAAGGCTGTGTTCCAGTAACTGTTTCTGGGCAGAGGGTTTTCTTTCATACTAACCTGCCAAATCACTGCTTGGCACGCAGGGAACAGATGACTGAACCATTTTTTAACTCTTCCTTTTCAATAGCATGAAACACAAAGGGCTTAACCTGCCTTTCAGCATTTAAGTTCCTTAATTCACTTCTTTGGTGCTGAGGAGAAACTGCTGGTGTGCATGAGACGCCTGTCACTGTAGGGTTGCAGAGCCACCTCTGTGGCCCTTGGAGGGAGCATAAGCCACACTTGACTGCTGGGGCTGAGGTCTGACCTTCTGCCAGCTTGGAATGATTTCCCCTGTTTTAATCTTATTTGTTCTTCAAATCAGGAGCAGGAAGACAGCGCTAACTAGTCAGAGTGAAATGAAGTTCTGGGACTCCTGTCTCTCTCTTTGGGGATACCCACTTTCTTACTTCTCAGTCCTGGACACCCTGACACCAGCCTGCCCATAACCAGTGCCTCCCCTCAGCACCAGTCCTGGCAGCTCTGTTTCCTTTGATAGTCGTTATATTTGCTTCCTTTCCTTAAAAATTAATAAAAAAAGGGCAATAAGACTTTTTAGTGCTGAAAGAGAAGACTTGATGATGATGTGTCACACCTGAAGGTCATTTAACCAAATCTTCTGAGAGGAATAAACTGGGGGAGGGAAAGGGAGTCATGGGAAGAGCTTGTTCCCGTGAAACTAAGCAGGACTGTACCTGTATTGAAGCTAACTTACCTTGTGTGCCTCCAGAAATGCCCTCAGCCTTTCATGATGGAGTTTTACAGGAAAGCGTCCCCATTATGAGGCTTCTCAGGCAGATTCCACAGAGTGAGTCAGTGCTTGCTGTGAAGCATCTGCTCATGGGCTTGCTTCAGCCGCCTGTGGCACGTGCGGCAGGCAGCTGGGGATTTACAACGAACTTCCTAACAGGGAGAGCAGCTGCAGAGCAGAATGAACCAGTCTCTGCATTGGTCATCAGCTGGGCTTGTTTTTATTTTCCCTTACCATAAGCATCTGGCTATTTTGATGCTTTTCATCTGTTTGAGGAGTTACAAGGTTCCTTCCCAATGCCATGCCTGAGAGCTCAATTTGTGTCCCTTCGGTTCTCTCATTAGAGACTCTCTTTGGCCCAGAGGATCCTTGGCTGAGCAAATGCAAAGTGGCCTTGTCAGTGCCAGCTGGTATGTGAAAAGTCTTTCAAACGGGGTTGAAAACAGACTGTGCTATTGCATTTTGTAATTGTTTAGCGGTCACATCTTGTTCTCAAAATACTAATTTTCACCTCATTTGCAACTGTCACATCTACAGCGATGGCAGATATCTTGCTCTGCATAATTGAGTTACTTGTGAATTCACTCTTGTAGGGAGCATGTCAGCTGTGCTTTCTAAACAGGCATGGAGGCCTGAGGATGGGTGTTACAGTCTTGCCTGAATCTGATTGACCCTCACTGGGTAGATCTAAGTGTTTTTTGGAAATATGTCTAATTTTAGAAGCAAAAACCCTGCTCTGTGTGAAGGTGTCTATGTAGTATAGAAAATAAATTATGTATTCTGCATATATGTGATGCAACACCAAATTATTAAATTCAGAAATTAACTTCAGTTTAGTAATCTGGCAATTTAATTCAAGTGACAAATTAATTTAGACTTTTATTTTGAATATAACTATATCATTAAAACCAGCCTATGAATATCATCGGTTCCATGGTTTCATTTCCAGCACTTGAGACTTGTTTATAGGTTCAAAGAACCAAAACTCCAGACAAATCTTGCATCATTAGTGCTTAAGAACCAAATGTTCATATATGCAATGCCACCAATATCTGCTTTTCTAGATAAGCTGTTCAGTGCCTGTATTATACTACCATACTCAATAACAACCTCGCCAGGACTTCATCGCATGTGTGTTGTCCATCCTGTGATGTTTTAGTGCTCCTCATCCAGGCTCTTTCTTTGCAGCCCATTGAAATGAAAGCCTGAATATCTGATAGATGTGGTGACAGCTGGCAGCAGAGGAGCATATGGCAAACCATGAGAACTGTTATGGAGAAAGGTGTTTTATCTGAGGGAAATTGTACATGGGAGTTCCACTGTAGAAAACGCATTTGCATCCTGACACCTACCCCCTTTTGCTTTGTTATACCTGTCCTTTCTATCTGGTGTTGAACGGTACCCTTGATTTTTTTGGAAGGCAAACGTGTGTGCATAAAAACCAACATCATCTCCACAGTGTTTCAGGTAGATGACAAGGCTCACACTTATACAAATTTGCAGTATGTATTCCAGCAGTTCCTTTAGTAGATTGTCAGAAGGTCACTTTTCTCCTCAGTGTGATCTTTTTTTTTCTTTTTCTCCTTTCATATCCTTTTTCAGTAAAGAAAATGTATATTTCTTTTAAGATGTTCCTGAAACCCATTTGAGTTTACTGCAAATTTTATTGTTGCTGTTTAATCAGAAAAAAAAAATAGAAATATTATTTTTACCGCTTTTGCTAAGCAATAATTGTAATTTGCTAGGGCTTCATTCATTGTGGGCTTCAGTGCTTCATCATTTTCTCACAGATCCTGAAAAGCCAGAAGATTTCAAAGCCAAGAGATTTCAAAGCAGTATACAACATTTTTATTAGAAATAACTATTGAGTAATTACATTGGCTACTAGCCGGAAATGATCTTTACAACAGTTTTAGCAGGTGCATAGTATAACATATAATTTTATTTGCAGAGTAAGGCAGCTGGAAAGAAAACAAAGGTTTACCATATTGCCAAGGAGATCATGAGCTCAGAGAAAGTGTAAGTGTTAATGCTAAACTTAACAGCTACTCAATTTATTGTAACTGGGCAATTAAAATGTAACTATTTTCTTTTTCTTGCTTTTCTGGTAGGTTTGTGGATGTGCTAAAGCTTTTACACATTGTAAGTACCCCAAAAAAAGAAGTTTCCTCTTCTATTTGTTTAATCTGTTGAAGTTCTATTTTTAGGCTTAATTGTAGTAAATGTGGTTTTTTTCTGCTGTGTCTACATATTCAAAATATAAAAATTAATCTAATTAAGCGTAACTTTAAAGTTGAAATATTTTGGTGGTTTCTTCTGCATCTCCTTAATTGACGTATGCAGCCTTCTAGCTGAGTTGGGGGTATTGCTTGAATATTTAATATGGAATACTGAAAATGGAATATATATCCATTTATGTTAATGAGCATCATATTTATAAGCCAGCTTGTACCATAGCAACTGAAATAAAATCTTTGGTTAGAATAACTTTTAAAAGTTGCAGGGAGGCAGGAACAATTTACCTTTGTAAATGGTACATAAAAATACACATTCTTTAGGTAATCTAACTAATTAGCTCTAATGGTACATCCATCACCATGGCAGTGTATTTTTTTTGGCTGCAGTTCTTTGACAGATGCTTTCTGATAACAGCTGTGATCGTAGTACGTGCGGTGTTGTCCACAGTAAGGGTTAAGTATTTAATCCATGCTTAAGCAGACCAGTCATCTGTTAGACATGCAGTGTTGAAGGTGATAATGGTAAATTAATGAAGAATTTAGCTTTCTCTAGCTCCATTTTATGTGTTTTCTGTTGACTTCTAAGTGATATGTGTTTGTACCATTTTGTCACTCTATTAAAGTGCAAGCATAGTGATTTTTTTCCTTCGGCAATGGTTATATTGCAAACAGATGCGTTGGTCTACCTCGGTCTCTTGAGAAGCATTTTCTGTAAAACTGGGAACAAAGGCTCTTATAGATGGCTGTATGCAGTCCTGTAATATGGAGATCTTTCAGGAAACAAAAAACTTACCACACCATTTGCTGATTCGTCTTTTGCCTTCCATTTTAGTAACTGATTTCTTATTCTGTTCCAGCTTGGGTTTTAAAAGCTGGGTCAGGCAGTTGCAGCCAATGTGTAATTTATATTCATCGTAGTTTCTGGTAGAGAACTCAAGCCTGACTACTGGTTAGAGAGTTGTCCTAATGAGCTTAGACAATTTTTAAGCTGTATGATTTTTAATTATCATATTTTTCAGGCATATAACGTAAAGGTGTTTTCGCTTTTCAGTGTACCAGTTCTTCAGGTAACATGTGCAGTACTGGAAGGAAAGGCCATTGGTGAGGAGGGTGGAGGCAAGCGAAGGAACAATGTGGGAGAGGGAAAATAGTAGGGAGTTCAGGAAGTTTCTGGAATAAACTTAAGGTTGTCCACGCAGTGTAAATGTGCAATGCGGTAGGATGCTTTTTGCTTTGTTTTCATGGATAACTCGCAGCTCTGTTCATGACAGTATGCTAGTTTCTAGCTGCCAAATGCAAACCATTAGAAATGTTTTTGTTGGCTAGCAAGAACAATCAACATGTATTCATCCTGGTCTAACAGAGAGGGTGCTAGGCTAGGAGTCGAGGGAATACTTTGTCCTCAGCTTGTGCAATTGGCCTCCAGTGGGAACCTTGGTGAGTGTCCTTGTCAGAGTGGGCACCAGTTTCGAGGCTCTTACTGTGTGTGTGTTCTTCATTAAATAAAACTTGCCGTATATGATAAAGGTTGCAGAAACACATTTATTTATTTCCACAGATTGGTATGCCTGAGTATTTGCATATATTTGTCACATACATCATTAAATCTGTTTATTTAATGGTATATTTCTTATGGATGATATTTAAATGTTGATAAATCTGTCCTTTTGCTTTCATGTGCACTGAACAACTTTGGCTTACTAGTTTCAGTGTCTGGGTTACTAACTGCCAGTGAAGCAACCTCTGACAGATTTCTGGAATGAAAACTTCTCCCCAGGCTGGGCTGTTTTACCCATAGTAATGATTTGGCTGGTCAGGGAAGGGTCCATTACACCTTCTGAACCTTCTGTTAGTGGTTTTCCAAATAGTAAATATTGAAATTTAGTGACTAATTCGCTCAGTGATGATCTGAAATTTATAGTATTCTCCTCAGTCTGTCGTACCAATGCAGCTCATGGCTCTTAATACAGCCAAGGAACAGGACTGTTGATGTAAGAAAAAGGTTTTTAAGTTGCTACTGCTTAGAGTATTTGAAGTGGAGTCTAAAGCAGTTGAGAAGGTGGTAACGTGACTGCAAACTGGTTACAAGTACCACTGTTTTGGTTTGGGTTTTTTTTTAGCATTTTTTTCCTTTGTATTGACAAAGTCAACTTAGGTGGAGCAACTCTTCCAAGACACCAGGGTGCCGGCCTGTTTGGACACTGTTGCACTGTACACCTGACTGCTGCTGTCCAAAAGTTCTCTAGAAAATTACAGACACTTGGGTACACTTCTGTAGTACCAAATAAGCTGATCATAACAGAGATAAGGGACTTAACTGGCTTTGCACACTGATGCTCTCTCAAACATACTCAGTGAATGGGGTTGCTTGAGGGAGGAATCAAACATTGTATGTAGTGTTGAATTCTCTATATTTCTGTTAACTATTGTAATGCTTTTTTAGAGGACAAGATTCCAGTGAAATGCTGTTAGAAACTCCTGAAAGCAAAGAGGCTTGATTTAAACCAGCTCATCTGTATGTGTCTTTATGAGATGGTTCATGTAGGGCTTCCGTGCAGGAAAAAAAGGAACCATAAACTGGATGTAAAACATAAGAGATGTAAGAGAAACAAGCTTGTCACCATTGTCTGAGCTGCTCTGTGCCCAAAAAGCACCTGGTGTTGCTGGAAAAGGAGTAAGGCAGGATTAGTGCCATTTGTACTTCTTTGTTGTAGGATTCATTGGAAATGGTTTGCTTTGCGTAAGTGAGAGAATCTCCTCAGCAGCACCGTGTTGCTGTAAGGGCAAGCTGCCTGGCTAATTTGCTGTCATTTCTCTTGTCCTTTTTTGTTCCTAATTTTGTTCTTTTGCAAAAACCAGTCTCAGGTGAATATGTTGATAAATTTTTAGTCTATGAGGTGCTTTAGAATTGCCGATTGAGGCATTTCGCAATGAATTGCAGCTGTAGTCATCTTATTAAGAAGGCTAATGAAATAGTTTTGATTTGGAAGGAAACATTCTTCTACTACCCAGCCTATTCCTTGAATATGCCGCAGTCAAATCATTGATTATTGTAAAAAATTAACTATCTCATATTGTTAAAGACTTATAAATGACTTTACTACCTGAGAAAAAAGGTGCGGTACTACTTGGCAGCTTTCCAGAAGCAATCTCATATGTTTGAAAAATGTCACGGTCCACACTTACTCATCGTCTTCATAAACTGTCGTTGCTGTAGTTTAACGTAACAGTTTATGGCTAACAAGAATAAGTCTATATTCTAGTTAAGACTGCCTATTTATATTTTAAATAATATATTTGTGAAGTCTTCTGTAGCTGTATTTCTAGCAGTTGTGTTTACAGTTTGTCACGTATAGCAGCCTGGTTCTTCCCCAAAGCACAAAATTTCCTCCCCGTCCCTCCTCCCCCCCATATGATGTGTGTGTTCCTTGAAAAACATTCAAGTGTAAACATATTTTTTTCCTTAAATTAAGCTGATATTTGAGATATCTGCAGGTGTATTTAGCTGGGAGTTGTAGCTCAGCGGAAGGGATTATGGCTTATTTTTGCTTTGATGATGGTATGTTCTGGGAGAACAGGTCCAAGATGAATATTGGTTGAAGACTTAGGAGTGACATGTGACCACATTTAGATCATGTAGTTCTTTCTCTTCCCGTTAAATTTACAAGAAGTTTTAATTTCACCCATTTGCGGTTATCTTCATTCAGCTGTTAAGATACATGGAGGTGCACTTAACCTGGTCAGCAGCTGAGTGAGGGTTTTGTCTGGTCAGTACCTAGTTTGGTTTACAGCTCAACTTGTTCCTTTGCTCCCTTGACTGACGCGGGCAGGTCGCTTCGCTGCACACTGGCAATCCTCCGGTGGAAAGAACGGAGAGGGATTGTGAGTCAGGGCCTTTGCAGAGGGGAATTGCGTGGGCTGGTGGCCGATGATTCAGAACAGGGTCAGAATTATTTCAGATATCACAGCCCTTTGCTTATTTAAGGAAGCTGCATTGAAGGAAGGGTGGGAGGAAACAAAAGCAGCGATGGTGGTATCCTCCTCAAATATTGTTTAAAAACTGCACAGTTCTAGGGGAAGTGTGTATTAATAGGAGAAATAAAATTCCCTAAACATTTTCAAGTCGTGAGTGCTTTATCAGTCAGTAATTCAGCAACCATATGTACTCAGAAGCCTTTAAAACTGCCTAAACTAGATGTTCATATGGACAAGTACCCAGTGGGATGCTGTCTTAGTCTAGAATAAACTGTTTCTGGTTTGGAAAGTGCTTTTCAGGGATGGTGATGAGTGCTGTTCTCTTAAAGTAGCTGTGTGGAGACAGTTGCCTTTGCCTAAGCAGTAAAAAGTGCTATCAGAAGATTGTTGTTGGACCAGAATATAATGTAGAACTAGAAACTGTAAATCAGCATTTCAGAAAGTCTACAATAGCCTCCCCCCTTCTGAATGGAAAAATTATCCTGGTAAGAAGCTGGGATGATTCAGTACAAGCAGCATAATCTTTTTGTTCTGCTGTGAAGCATATGAAACTTTTTTCTAGAGTTGCAAAAGGTATTTTTTTGTGAAATAAGCACTTTCATTCCAAAGCATGGCAAGGTTTTTTTAAATGAGTGATATTTGAAAGGCTCATTTTTAATTAGAAAATCTCTCTCTTTAAAATTCACTGTAATGGATTGCTTCAAACAGCATAATGTCTAGGACAGCTCAGGTGACTGCCTTTGAACAGACTAATGAAAGCAGCGCTTTTCAGCAGCGTTACATAGTACTATATGCTCAATGTGGTTGTAATATGAATCACTTCTTGCATGTATATATAGATATCAGTCCAATGTATATTTTATCTGCAACAATGACTCTTTATTTAGCAGTGAATGAATTTAGTTTTAGAAGGAATTAGGTTCTGGTGAATTAAAGGACTATTAATGCAATACCTCATTTCTAAGTCATTCACCTACTTTTACAAAAAGTTCTCCTTATCTGAATACCTTCCACCCTTTGGAGTGAAATTTCAGGGTTTACTGTTATAAGTTAACATATTTTACATTGGATAATTAAAACAGACCTATTCTTGATTGTCCTTTCGGATAAGAAATTACTTTCTCAGAAACCTTCAAGTACCTTCAAGTGTAAACACTGTTAACTCCAACCTTGTTACATTTGTTTCACTTTTCCTAGCCCCACTCCTCAGGCATGTGCTCTCTGCCTTCAACTCTTAAGTTTATCTCAAGATGAACTTGGTATGACAGTTACTTCACACCCACTGCCAGGTTAAAAATAAATCTTAGTATGATTACAGTGACAAATGCATTGTACTGCTTCTGTAACGAAGACTTGGTAATTCAGAAAAACAATAAAAAGAAAAAAAGTGTTGAAGTTTAGGTCTTTTGTTGTTTAGCAGGCTGGTTTGCATCATTTGAAAGCTTCGTGTTGTCTTTCTTCCCTGCGTTTCCTCTCTGCAGGGCTTCCTCCATTTACTCAGTTGTGGAGGGGGACGGAGGGGGTGATGAAACAAAGTTTTGGTTGGCTGTTTTAATGATAGGGTCTTTCACGGCGTGATCCAAAGCCTGATGAAGCTGATGGACTTTGGATCAAGCTAGTTGAAAAACCAAATCTGTATTTGGAAAACATCCTGCAGACTGACTCTTTGAATGCTGTATCTAGAAGTTAAATAAATGCTCTTAACTACAAATGACATTCCTGTCTTATCTACTGGTGCTTAAACCTGGCTCCCTGCTCTCCTTTTATTGTTTGGTCAGGGAAAAGCCTGCGTTGTTGATTACACGACAGACAAAACTGCTTTTCTTTTCATCCTGCAAATAGCCTTCTAACAGTCAGACAAAATGCTTGTTTCATCCCATAGCAAAGTACGTACAGTATATTGTGTGTGCATGTGATCTGGGGGGAGAGAAAGAATATTATCATAATATGATGATGCGTTTTGCATGAAGCTCTCCAGAATGCCTCATCTGAGCTTTTGCCATTGTAATTTCATGTATCATTTCAGGGTTAAGCAATGCCCTAAGGTCAGGAAAACCCATAAGATGCAGCTGGTAGTTAACCTATGTGTCACTAGTCTGCACAGAGGATGTAAAACAGAACATTTCCATATGAATAAGGCCATCTGTTTTTTAACTCCGTTGCATTTAGTTCGCAGCCTTCCCCCATCACTGCCATGGCCCTGTATCTCCTTTCAGTTTCTTGTCATAACTCTGCCCAGTCACAGCCTTGGTGACCCAGAGGGTCACGGAGCAAGAAAGCGTGTCTGGAGCTCGCGCTGCCCAGACCTGATGTAATGAGGAGAGGGGGCAGGGGAAAGTTGAGACTGAAGTTTGAGAGACCGTAAACAGTGCCAGATGCTGGACTGACGACATAGCTAGTAAGACCTGTAGTAGTAGTAGTAGACCCGGGGAGGTGGAAACAGGGGGCTTCATTTTTTTGTTTGTTTGGGTGAGGGGTTTTTTTTGTTTTCAACGTGAGGACTCTACAGATTTTCAAAGGCAGGTATGGACCTCATGCACATTTAAAATATAACTCACCATTGTACTGTGGAACGTGTTGTTTGGTCACCTTTTTTAGGCCACCTATAGATTGTGCACGTGTCATCAGGTTTCAGCAGACCACAAACTCAGAAAGGGCTATTATGGATTGTCTTTTTTTCCAGTGTTGCCCAAATTCAAGTGAGAAACGGTAGTACAGCACACCACTTAATTTGAATTTTCTTTCTTGTCAGTGTAGACAGTATTATTTTTCAAGTGAAATGTTAAGTTGCTAACCTTTTTTGAAAATTTTGTTTGCATGTGATCAGGAAAATACCTGGTCTAATGGATGTTGAGTTTCAATATGGATACAATCCTATCCATACTGACTTGTGCAGGGCCAAATTTTTAATTCTAAACAGTTTAATGAGGACCAGTAAGCCTCATCTCTGGCCTGCTGGGATCTGGTTATAGCATAAAAATGCTATCAGAAGGTCCTTCAAGTGTAAGTGGGTGTTCCTCCTCTCTGTAAATATATTGAAGGTACCAATGTTGTTTTCGTTCGTCACTAACATTTGAAATCTCATGGTTCCCATACATTGTTACAATGTCTTTTTACTAGATGTTAATTTTCCTGTATGTAGAAGAGCTGCTGCATGTAGTAATTTTTTGTGACCCCTCATTTTTGTCCAAGAGGCATATCTTCCAAAAGGGCGTTTGCAGAGCACTTATGAAAACTAATATGCTTTTAAAAGAAGATGTTATGATTGTATTAGCTGATAAAATGTTTTTGCTTTTTGACCCAAATGTTAGCAAGAAGATACTCAAAGCTGCCAGTAACTTTGCAGAAACAAACTTTTTTCCCTCTGTAGTTTCCTCATATGTAGTACTAGCACATTTCTTAAGGGTGTGTTATAAAAATAATGAACAGCTTCTGTAGTATGCATACAGGAGCAAGAAAATAAAGCTCCGGCTTCAAACCAAAGGGATTAAGTCAGTCCCAGGGGAGTAAGTTGAAGCTGCAGAGAAACATAACCCAGATGGTACCCACCTTGCCTTTGGTAATAGGGAGCAGTGCCTGGAATGTCTGGAGAGGGGACGCCGTTGTCTGCGTTGGTGCTTTGAAGGCTGTTCGCTCATGGGAAGGGGGCTTTCTGTCCTCTTTGTACTCCGGCAGGATTTCCGGGACGCTGTGTCGCATGCCTCTAGGCAGCTCGGAAAGCCAGTGATTGAGGACAGAATCCTGAATCAGATCCTGTACTACCTACCTCAGCTGTACGAACTCAATCGAGACCTCCTGAGGGAACTGGAAGAGCGATTATCTCACTGGTGACTATCAATAAAGGGATACCACTGCTTTGATGTTGGTGAAATTTGTCTGTGGGGCTTATGTGGCTCATATGTGACCACAGTTCGACTCTTGTTTGTGTTTCACATGCCTTCTTAAATGACTGAATTGACTTAAAAGTACAGGACATAATTTTCCATTCAGATGTACTTTTTGCCGTGTAGATGTATCCAAAAAGGTCCAGAAGGCATGTCAATACATGTTTTTAGTTGTCACACTTTTTTATTTTTAATTTCTTTTTAATTTCCTCTGGTCCCTGCATGGGCATGATAAGTGGGCTGATTTCATTAGAGGAAAAGGAGGCTGTGCTGAGGACCGGTGAGATCTACTCACCAGACACAGTACTGATTGCCAGCCACTATCCCATTGAAGTCCATTCTCGGTTACAGTGGTGGGCAGATCTAAATTAGCTACATAAAGCCACTGACAATGGCCCTGAAATGGGTAAAGACTGTAATCCCATGCTTGCTATTAAGGGATGGAGACTGCATCTTGAAGTTTGAAGACTTGTCTCCTCAGAAATCCAGCTTCTACTAAAGCCTTCAAAAGGTTCAAGACCATTTTAAACAGACTTTGTATTAAGTGGCTGTCATCTAATACTCAGCTAGTGTGTTGAGGTGTTCCTGGTAAGATTTTTCAGAGTAGCTACTGAGATGGATGCCTGTCTGCTGAACTGTAAGCTTTTTGTTCAGAACATAAACTGGCACATCTTACTGTGAAAAAGAGTGATGTTTTCCTGTAGGGTTAAGATGTGCACTCTTTTTAGCTCTTTCTAATTGCTCTGTTTTTTGTTTCTAGGCTCGAGCATCAGAGAATTGCTGACATATTTGTTAAAAAGGGTCCCTACTTAAAGATGTATTCAACTTACATCAAAGAATTTGATAAAAATGTTGCACTACTAGATGAACAGTGTAAGAAGAATGCAGGTTTTGCTTCAGTCGTCAAAGACTTTGAGGTACTGTAGTCTTTTGTAAGATACATCCTATTTTGTGGCTTTTCAGCAGTTGTGATCTTCCATAAAGCTGTAGAGACTATCCTCCAATTTGGTGGTTTTTGTTTTTTGTTTTTTCCTGCAGTATTGACTCAGTAGGGTGGAAGGGGAAAGAAGTAGATTCAGATTTTGTGAAGTAACTACTGATTTTGACTACCACTGTGAGATACGATAAAGGGTCTTGATTTTCAGAAAATGCAGAACTTGCTACAAATTGTACCAAAGACACGTTAACAAAATCTCTAGATGCTTTTTTTTTAAGTTTTGACTCCTGATCGTACTGTGCATCGATTAACTCTCCTATTTTAACCAGGTTTATTTCTCTACCACATGATAGGGAAGTAGCTTACTCATGGGAATGGTGTTTCATTTCAGTTGGAAACAGAAAAAAGTGAATTTTCTTGTCTGAGATAGAAGTTTCAAACCAGCACATGCAGCAATCAGATGAAAGCTGATGCGTGTCGCAAAGAGCATTGCTGGATTTTTACATAACTCCCTTAAAACAAATCAGAGAGGAGGTGCAAGCTTCTTAAGGACAGAAGTCACACAAACTGAATTTACCTCCTGTAACACAGGCTTCCCCTTGGGTAATCCCTGCTCTTCTTGCTTACGAGTGGTTAGAAAAGCTACTTACAGGGCTCTGAGCAACCTGATCTAATTGAAGATGTCCCTGCTCATTGCAGGGGTGTTGGACTAGATGACCTTCAAAGGTCCCTGCCAACTTGAGGTAGAGTCAGCAAAGACAGGAAGAAGATAAGAGGCCTCTTTAAGGACTTGGTGTTTCAGATGCACATTATTTTGATTGCAAACTCAAGATAATTAACATTTTTGAGGCATGGATCTTTTAATTCTGTGTTGTCTTTAGAGGTATGGATTAATTGAAACTCAAGTGGATGCTGCTGCCTTCTCTGCCTTTCCGCCTAATGGACACTGACACCGATGACAAAGGAGCATGTTACCCTTGCCACCAGTGTTTTTTCCTTTATTTCTAGGAAGCTTCACCTCTCTCCCTTATAAGCAAAAGCACCTGTTTTGAATCCGCAGAGAGCATGAGTGCTTATGAATGTCTTTTAACTCATTATTGGTTTTGCACTCAGTCTACCGCGCACGGAAGTACTTGCTCTGTAGTGCAGCATTTAACACTGTGGTAGTCGCAGCTTTTAAAGATAAAGCTTATCCGAAGTAATCGGTAGTTGTTTGTAGGTATGATTTCTTTCGCTGGAACCCTTCACTACCACAGAATCGTTATGTATTTTGGGTGTTTCTTTCAGATGAGCCCCCGCTGTGCTAGTCTGGCCCTCAAGCACTATCTGCTCAAGCCAGTTCAGAGGATTCCCCAATACAGGCTCCTGTTGACAGGTACAGTCAAGCTTTTTTATACAAGCCTAAGAAGCCAGTCTTCGCATGTACCAGTAAACTTGTTTTCATGTGGTTCTATCTATCTGTAAAGCGTGTTTATCTGACTTCAAATATGTGACGCTTTTTTAAAAACATGGCATGGGTTTAGAGGATTTCTTTGTTCATACTGGTTGCAATAAGATACACAAGCAAGCTGCCAGTATTCCCAGTGCTGTGTTGTGTTCTCTGATGGTACATTCAGCAGTGCTTGGAAAACTCGCAGCCTGTGGTGGTTTTTGTTTTTTTCTGTGGCAATATAAGCTGGTAATTTCCTTAGAGAGTTGGAATGTTCCTGTTTTGCTTTGGGTTTTGGGGTGTTTGTTTTGCTTTGCTTTTTTGTGAAGGAAAAAGGTAGTGTGGAAAACTGGAACTAGGAGAAGGAAGCGAAAGATGTCTGTGCAACTATGAACTTCTGCAAGTAGCTTCTCCATTTCTCCCTTACCCAGGTGTTTGTATGTAAAATCCATTCTCTTCTAAAGGCAAAACACATGTTTTTAGCGTATGTTACCAGTAAGTACTTCAGACTTGTGACAGGTGCATTGTAGGCTGAAGAGCTGGCTTGGGTCAGGAAATTTGGGCTCTATACCCTGCGCTGGCACTGGCATGTTTGGGTGACCTTGAGCAAGACATCTCCATGATGCAGTGCTTTCTTTTCTGTAAAAGGAGGGCAATGATAGAGGCTTCCTTTGTGAATTATTTTGAGATCTGTTTGTTGTAAGAGGGGATGGCTCCTGTAAGGATTTGGAAATACTTAAGGCATTGTTTTTGAAAGCCATTGCTTCTTGATGAGCAATTTAAAAATAGCCTCTGTTTATGTAGTAACTGCAAAATAAAATGCTCTGTGACCTTTTTTTTTGGCTCTGTAGCAGCTTGTTGGCATTTCCCCAGCAAGTACTTAGACTAGTGATGCTGTGGGAGGTACAAACTGAAGTGTTATACAGCAGTTCCCGAGTTATTAACGTTGACTGTTTTCATTTTAATCATCTCATTAAAGTCACAGGTGTTGAAAAAAGGGTGAATAGCCCTTATTAAACTACTTTGTAGAGGAATATCTTAGTGACTCTTAATTGGTGAAATCAAACCATAAAACAGCATTTGGGGAATTCCGTTATTTTTAAAGGATACTGACTTGGGCCATAGTAGAGCCTTGTTATGCACTCCAAAATCAGTGGAGCTTTGGATAAGTTCAAAGGTTTTAACTGAAACAGTTGAACAGCATCAGGATGGAATAAATGCCTTTGTCAATATACATGGCAAAGTGAGAGATGCCAAGGGCAAATGGCACTGAAACAGAACTCAGATGTTGAAGGGAAATTCTTTGTGACCATTAACTGTCATTGTGGCTGGGGCTGGCTCTTTTAGACCTGAAAAAACCTCATTTTGTGGTGATGGAGGTTGCTGTGGATGTCCCTAGTCTGCAGACCTTACTGTGGCTGCCCAGCTTTGAATACACCTCCAAATGCAAATGCTGTTGACAGGAACGGGATTGCAGTGCTGGCTGCTGATTTAGAAAAGTGATTTTCTCTTGTTCTATGGGAGCCATAAAAGAGGTTAGACTAAGAATTTAATTATGCTGGGGCTGAGGGGTTGTTAGTTTGGCGTGTTTCATATTCGATCTGTTCAATCTGTCATGCATTTCTGTTTTCCTTGAGATTCTCACTCTTCCATATCTCTCTGGATGACCTGTCTGCTGTGTTACCTTCTGCTCTGTGTAATACTGAGTAACTCCTGTATACATTCGTGCTGCAAAACCTTTGGAGGACACACAAAATATTTGGATGTCTTGTTGCAGGGGGTGAGATGCAGTGATGCAGCAGCCGCCCAAGCCAAAGCCTGGGGGGATCTGTGGGCGAGGGAGGAGGGGGCTGCGGGTAAGAGCAGGGGAGCGAAAATAATCCAGGAAACCTAGGCCTGAGTCAGCAGGGTTTTCTTCCTATTTAGATGTTCTATGTCAGTGGGACAGCTTTGTACTGGTAACCTGCTGCTACACGGTCACATCACAAGATTGTTGCTGTGCTTTGAAGTGGAGCTACTTTTCTGCTAACAAAAGCGGGAGCAGGTGGACTCGTAAATCAGCCAAGGAGAGGCGCAGCTCAGCTGCATTTCCGTTTAATTATACAGCTTCTCCAGTCCCGCGAGTGAACTTCCACTTCTCCACATGCTGGCCCCGAGGTCTACACAGCAAATATTAGATGGGTTTTTGGGGATGTTAATTAGAGGCTTCTGATTTCCGATAGAAAGAAATGAAGGAGAGGTGATTCTGTCCTCCCGAAACCCTCTGATTCCAGTGGATGACTTGAGACTGTGCAATATAAACAGGCTCTTCACGGTCATTAGATAAGCCCCTCTCCTCTTTTTCTCAACGTAAGGTTTACAGATAGAGAGTCTTTTATTTTCTGTAACTGGGGTACAGTGGGTGGAGGTGGAGGGGGATGAAAACGAAGCCTTTGAGCGCACTGCTCCTTTGCAGGTTGGAAATAGAGTTGTCAGACTTGAGGCCGATTTTGTGTTGAGGAACAATTGCTTTGAGTTTAATTTAATTAAATTAGACAACCTGAGATAAAAAGTAGTTAATGAACCAGAAGAGAATTTTTAGCAGGAGAAGAGATAGTTGCTGCCCCCCCCCCC